ATGGTCGAAAAACGCGCGCAACTCGCGCGCTTATATGGCATTTTTAATGCAAACGATTTTGAATTTGAATCATAGACACTTGGTGGCTGCAGTTGTAGTTGATTTGTCGCCTGTGCATGTCAATCACGAACTTTAAGATACATTTTTTTTTCGGTTTTTTTCCTTTTTTTTTTCCTTTTAGTTTTGGCCAACAACACGATTTTCCAAACGATAATAATTAGCCAGGCAGCCTAGGCTTTGCAGCCAGCCAGGCTCCCACTTAACTTAATGACAGCCAACTGCCTGATTTAGTTCTCAGAGGCGGCACATGCTCCAAACAGGCGAGCTAGCCAAGCCAAGCCAAGCCAATACGAGTAAGTAAACCAGCTCTGGTTCGACAGCAAGTTGTAATTGCTTAAACGACTTCTGGTTTGGCTTAGTTAGATAGTTATGTAAAGTGGTTGCGCTCGCTGACACACTTCTGACGCCTGCTGCCAACTTGGCCGGCAGTTTGAAAATCATGGCACACTACTCGAACTGCCCGATATAGTAGACGCGTAACTATATATGGTGGCAGGCACATCTGCCGCGAATCTGCCTCCATTTGTTGCAGTTTGTCGCGACCAAAAACAATGACAACTCATTCAGATGCCTATCCATATCCATAAACCCAATTCGTTTCAATTGCAGCCAATGAGCAGCGATTGAGCAACTTTTTCCGCGCTCGGTCGCATCATAAACTCGTCTCAAATCAAATCAAATCAAATGGAGGCGAGTCTCAAGAAGACTGACTCGTCTGATGAATGTAAAAGGAAATTTTCTCTTCTCATTCGTTTGATGAAATCTTCAGCAATCGCTTTGAATTCGGCTGTTTGTTTTAATGTTGTTGTTGTTATCGTCCATATATGACCATTTATGTGTCATGAAGGTGCCAGAAATTTTATGGCTTTTAATGTCTCTATTGTTCACACTTACAAAATGAAATGTTCGAGAACAAATGTTTTTACTGTAAACTCTTTTAAACAAATTGAGCAAATTCATAAAAAGAAAGATGCTAAGACTTTATTTCACATATAGAATTTATTAATGGTTAGTTCAAACTTTTCAAACTTGTTGCCAATAATAAAATAAAATACTTTGAAGCAGATCAAATATTTGAATACTTATTACATTTAAATATAATTTTTCATGTTATTAATTGATTTGGAAATTTTATTTGACAACTCTATATTTTAAGTAAGAAAATGCCTAAACTTTTTTTTAGTTAAAGGCTGCACATTTGAAAAAGTAAGGCCATTCCATGGAGTAAATCTTCTGCCAATTGAAACAAACAATTTTGAACTGAAAGCTTTCTCTGTCATATCTTCGGAATTGCTTCTTTCAACTTTTATTTTTAGTTGCTTTCAAAAATTGTTTTCTATCTCAAAACGATATATCTCGCTTCCGACTTGCTCCTCTGACGATCTGAGATCAACGTCAAGTCTTATGGATGAGGAAAGGAGCGTAAAATCTACAAAATAATTACCGCAATCACTTTCCTCTTAATTAAATTAATTTGATTTAACTTCTCTCGTAGTACGGAACATGGCGCGACTAGCATCAGCATCAGCATCGGCATCGGCATCAGCATCAGCATCGCCGGATCGTCGGCGGACTGTCAACGAATGTCACTTTAAATACGCCAAAACGGTGCAAAAGTTTCAATTGGCGGACGCCGAGGCACCAGAAACATAAACCGAATCCGAAACCGAAACCTCAGCAGACGCCAGTGTGGCAGCCGCTGGAGCAGATCGCCGATGCCGATAGGAGAGCTCGAACGGCTGGCTGCTTAGATAGTGCTTAGTTGGCTAGCTGCATGGCTGGATAGCTGGTTGGCAGTAGCAAGGCAAGAGCTGCATAAGATACACACAAGCCAGTCGCAGTATCTCATATCTGCGCATGTGTATCTCAAAGCGACTGTCAAATAGTTAAACTGACAGTTTGTTTTTGCGCTGTGAATGAAGATGAAGTTGGGTAGCTTAACTCTTTTGGCGCTACCACATTGAAAATTGGGTCAGTCGAGTCAGCAGCCAGCAGCCAACAGCCAGCAACCAGCGTCTCTTCAAGTGCAGAGACGGACCGCCCGGACTGGCGGGGACGGACGCCTTGCCGGCTGACAGACAGGCCCGCAATGCCTTCGGGCAGCAATCTGCTCGTGTGTCTTCTTCTGCTTTCTAGTAGTCGAAACAAAACTGTTTTACTTTTCGCGGCACTCATTTATGATTATAAATTCCGGCGAAATATTTATGTGGCATATCCACACACACATCCGACCATCATCTCATGACTCTCTTGCCATTTTCAATTGATTTCCATTTCAATTTCGTGTTTGTCTTGCTCCGTACTTTTGTTGGCTCTATGACACGTGACATGGGATTTCACTTAAGACTTTAATATGAGAAAACATAAAAATGCGCACGGTTTTACTTTATTTTATTTTACTTTATGTTATGTTTTGTGGACATGACATGAGCGCCGACTTTGAGCTGACAGCCGAAATGTGTCCGAAAGGACAGCGACTTAGACAGACAATGGGCAGCATGGAAGCGCCGAGTCTGTGGAGTGGAGTGTGGTTTTGAATCCGACGTGTAAATTGGTTTCTAATTGCTGGCATATCTCGCTTACTCTTTCTTCGTTTGCGAAAGTTGTCAAATGGATTCAAACGCCTCAGAGATGCGCATTTATTTAAATTACTTTCTTTCAATCATCATCAGTAAATTACTCGCAATGTTTAATAAATGCTGCTCTTAAGTCGTGGCGAGAAAATGGACTCTATTCGACTTAATCCATTTTTCATTTAATTATTTTTATACCCTGTACCCGTAGGGTAAAAAGGGTATATTAGGTTTGTGCAAAGTATGTAACATACAGAAGGAAGCATCTCCGACCCCATAAAGTATATATATTCTTGATCAGCATGACGAGAGAAATCGATCTAGACATGTCCGTCCGTCTGTCCGTCCGTCTGTCCGTCTGTCCGTCTGTCCGTCCGTCTGTCCGTCTGGATGAACGCGAGGATCTCAGAAACTATAAAAGCTAGAATAACCAAAGTTGGCATCCAGATTCTCCTAGGTCCGAGTAAGGACGAGTTTATTTTTTTTTTTTTAATTTTCCCCCCCTTCCCCCGCTGCAGAATTTCGTCAATAGCGTCCACATTTCAAATGCTACCTAAACCAAACTTTGCACACATAATTTATATATAATTGTCTACTGTTGTTTGTACTTTTATTCAATTCGGTCAATTCTAAGAAAAGTTATTAGCGAAACAAATTCTCGACAGTACAACCCCCCCAAACTGCAGCAATAAGTTCGCTCTTCTTCTTCCTCTTTTTGCTGCTGCTATGGGCGCATATAACTCAGTGACGGAAGTTTACCTGGGTACAGGGTATTACACTGTCGGGCTTGCTCGACTGTAGCGTTCTCTCTTGTTTGTCCTAACGTTTTGTATGCCATTTTCACTGAATTAATTAATAAAATCAAATGAATGGAAATGCTTTTTATTTGTTTTCTATTATTTCTATTAAAAAATTAGCGATAATTTGAAAATGAAATAAAAATTAAAATCAAATGAACGGAAATGCTTTTTAATTGTTTTCTATTATTTCTATTAAAAAATTAGCGATAATTTGAAAATGAAATAAAATTAAAATCAAATGAACGGAAATGCTTTTTAATTGTTTTCTATTATTTCTATTAAAAAATTAGCGATAATTTGAAAATGAAATAAAAATTAAAATCAAATGAACGGAAATGCTTTTTAATTGTTTTCTATTATTTCTATTAAAAAATTAGCGATAATTTGAAAACGAAATAAAAATTAAAATCAAATGAACGGAAATGCTTTTTATTTGTTTTCTATTATTTCTATTAAAAAATTAGCGATAATTTGAAAACGAAATAAAAATTAAAATCAAATGAACGGAAATGCTTTTTATTTGTGTTTCTATTAAAAAATTAGCGATAATTTGAAAATGAAATGAAAATTAAAATCAAATGAACGGAAATGCTTTATATTTGTTTTTCTATTCAAAAATTATCGATAATTTGAAAATGAAATAAAAATTAGAATTAATGCAAACATTTCCTATAAGCTAAAAGTTTTCATAATTTAAACTCGCTTTATATAGCCGACTTCATTTAAAAATTACAATTCAGCTGAAATTTATGAATATTTGTTGGCCATATTGGAATAGAAAATGCTCGACAGACATCAAAAGCATTTCGAGCGCAGTTCTTAACTTTATTTTATGGCATTTTTATTACGGCCTAGGTGTGGGCTTTACACTTACGTAGACTTTAAGGTATTGCACTTATCTTTGAATCGCATGAATGGCAAAGGCCAAGCTGAGTGTCAGATCACCTGAATTGAGCTTTGGCCCAATCGTACAATTCAATTTGTTCACACTTTACATAAGCTTGATTAAAAGGGCATTAAATCGCTTTACGATCACCCTTCATTAGAGCCTTTCAGCCAGGTTCAGAGCCAATCAAAGGCCGTAAACGACGCTAGGGCTAGACGGCAAACAATTCAACTCCTACGGCACCCAGTCGGCACCCACGTAAGTGTGGCCATTAGCACGCCGTTGGGGGAATAGAGTCAATCGAATGTGTCAACAGATGCCCGATAACCCGAATTATACAAAACGGCCGCTGCGGCACACAAAGATGAACGGATATGAGCGGTTAGCTGCAGAAACGGTAACAATAAAGCCGTTGACGGGTTACAAAAGCGTTTGATTTTCTTTTATTTCTCAAGCATTATAGAGTGCTGGTGCGCCATTTCTCCCAATTTTCTATGGCCTTTGATAAAGACACTTGGCGCACAGCTCAAGCATAATCAAGTGGCTATTAAAGTAAACACACAACGGTGCCGCGTGCTTGAAGACGAAGTAGTCTGCATTGAGCGGAGGACCGGACCGAAATCATTTTCAATGCCTACGAGATCCATCGAATGTGGTTTGTATCTTAAAGTACGCACTCACCTGCATGTAGCGGGCCAGAGCCGCGTTCCGTTGCGCATGCGATCTCAGCTGGGGCTGTGGCGAGCCCAGAGGGCTGACAATCGTTGATGTGGATCCACCGATGCCGGTATCATAGCCTTGAGCATTGGCGCCATCAACATCTGCATGAAGAAGAATTCAAGTGGGTGGCAGAGTATTAATAAATCTGTGCAGAAAAAGTAGGCTCTAATTCTCAAGTGTAGAATTCATAAAAATTCAAATTAATTTCTTGCACACACATACAAGTATATTCTTACTATAGACTCGAAAAGTAAATGGTTTTAGATTGTTAAACTGATGCATTTGTTTAACTAATTCACTCAAATAATTCACTATTTATGAAAAATATTTAATATGTCAGATCCAAGCTGTTTTCAGTCTATTTAATGTAGAGGTCCAAAGAAATAATAAATTTCAGAACAAATTTCAACCTGACTTATTATTGGTTCTATGTATATATTGCCATCTTTTCTTTTCATAAACCTTTTTTTTAGCAGTAATAATCTAAAATAAACAGTTAGTAGTTACGGGGATCAAGTTATGGTAGCCCGAGTAGGGAAATTGTTTTTTGTGCGCAAGTAGTTAAGATCTATCGAATCTAAATAGGAACTATGTACAAAAGTCTGCATACGATCCGATATTTTGCTACCTGCCCGAACCAAAGATATTTATTAAAAAACTAATGCAGTTTCGTAGCTTATATATTCATATGGAAGAAAACGAAAAATTATAAACTTGTATATCTATTTGTCGCTCACTTAGATTCCCTTCGAGCCTCTTCAGCTATAGTACCATCTGACGAAAACTTCTTATAGGCCGTTAAAAATAGCATTACTTGTGAGACGAACCAAGAATATGAATCGAAAAAAAAAAATTAATTTAGTCAATTATCCGCATGGTCTACGAAATTAAAAGAAATTTAAAAAGTATTCTAAGTAAACCAAATAATCAAACTTTTTATTACCTATTGGTGTGGATTTGTAAAATGTTTTTCCTGACAAATAAAATTCCCATCGTGTCGGATTCGTTATTAGATATTTTTGTCATTTTTATAGGCTTTTGTATTTCTTTAGTTTTATTTAGTTTAAGTTCTCTATTGTATTGATTTTTTGTTTGCATTGTTTGTCGATGAAATAAATAAATAAATAAAATAAAAAGAATAACTATAATGCTTGATGTACTAAACTAGCTTCAATACCGATTTTTATTTTTCTAAATGATTTTTTTAAAGAATAATTCTTAGAAATTGTACATAGTACAATAGAAAATCTTTTTTTATGAAGAAGTTAAGAGGCTTCTGTAATAGCTAATCTCTATAAATGTATATAAAATTTGGTGTCGTGCCTAATTTCCTATGAATAAAGGTTTACTATTGAGACAATGGATATACAAACAAGCTCAGAAAATGTTTTACCATGTCCTATTTTCCAAATATTTATATGGTTTGTTTTTTTATAGTTCTTAGAGTAAACAAGAAACCAGTCATGTAGTAGTACTTGGTAAGGAAGTACTTCTTGGATTTTTGTAAAGCCTGTTTCCCAACACTTTAAGTTTTTATAGCTGTGTCATGAGATATTGTCGGGGCACATTCCGCTGCTCACTGCCAGTAGCAGTATTATGGTATGTGGTTGAGGCATAACAATGTCTGTTGCGATCACGGCTACTCAAGTAGCCACACAAATTTGCACACTTGGCCATTCACTCACTCACTCAGTCAGTCAGAAAGTCATTCAGTTAGGCAGTCAGTCAGCCAGTCAGTCAGTCAGTCGATCTGTCTGCTGATCAATCGCACGCCTGATACGTGCATTTGTTATTCTAAGTCGCACAGTTCATTGTAAAATTTATTTCGCTTGCCAATGGCAGTGGCGTTCAAATCGTTTTGTATGCAAACTTCATTCGTCTGTCGGTTAACTTCAGACGGCAGATCGGACAAAGCACAGCTATACTGATCGTATATATATAGTATTCGTAAGTACTGTGCGTTTCATGAAAACTGAAAGTTTATGCCCGTTTTTAGTTAAGGTTGACATAATTTCCAGTGGACTTCACTGCCTACACCCTGTAAGTCGTTTAGAAAAATCGTGCCACATGTTGCGCCTCTTGTAGTGAGAATTTATGAGCCTGCGAGGGGGGATTTTTGTTTTTTGTTTTTCGTATTTTGTTTTGTGTTGCGCTTATTTATGGTGACAGTTTTTAGTGTAGCGGTTAAAAGCGACATGGCGAGCTGTTGAGCAATTGATTTGCCTTATTAGCATAGCTAATTGAGTGATCTAGTTTGCAGTGTCTGAAGGCCTCCAGGTTCAGTTGAATTATGGAGCTTGAATACTTGGATACTTGGGTATGTGAGCACGTCTGGTGCAAATAGTTAAGAATCTAAAATACAATCCCCATTTAAAATATGTGTATGTGCTTAACAGAATCGCTCGCTTTTTGCTTCCAGAGATATTTAAACTTCGAATCGATTTAATGGACTGGATGGGCACAAGTATTAACATAGGGAATAGATGATGCGAAATTTTTAGACCAATTCTTATATTTTTTTTTTTGGAAATGAACCTTCTTCTTTTGCTCCCACAAATAAGAGATCCTTTAAATATTGATCATGACTTAAATGTACAGTTCGAGAAACCTAATCCATGCTTCCATTCTTATCCTCATATCTTTTGTAACGCATTGGCTTAAATATTTTTCGTCGAGGCTAAACATAAAGAAAATCCCCTAAATATTGATCGTGACTTAAATGTAAAGTTTGAGAAGCTTAAGCCATGTTTCTATCCTTTTCCTCATATCTTTTGTAACGCATTGGCTTCAATATTTTTCGTCGGGGCTAAATCCCCTAAATATTGATCGTAACTTAAATGTACAATTTGAGAAGCTTAAGCCATGTTTCTATCCTTTTCCTCATATCTTTTGTAACGCATTGGCTTCAATATTTTTCGTCTAGGCTAAACATAAAGAAAATCCCCTAAATATTGATCGTGACTTAAATGTAAAGTTTGAGAAGCTTAAGCCATGTTTCTATCCTTTTCCTCATATCTTTTGTAACGCATTGGCTTCAATATTTTTCGTCGAAGCTAAACATAAAGAAAAGGTAGGAATCCTTAAAAACTGCGTTCGCTTTTTCAGTGCATTCCCCTATAAACACGTTCGGAAGACATAAAACAACGTTACAACCTTATTTGCTGACAACACTTGAAGCACAAATTCCAAGCTGGCCAAGAAAAAAATGTGTTGCCATGAATTTTTGTTAATTTCATGTTGCCAGCCAGAGAATACCTACTTATATATATATATTCTTGATTATGTATTTGTACGCCACTCACCTTTCAGGGAGCTGTTCATGCACATGGGGCACTGATCGTTGCGGAACATACAGGAATAGCAGCGTTCGTGTCCGCAGGTGTCGATCAGTTTTCGTCGCTTGCCCTTGTCGAAGGAGATGCGGCACGAGGGGCAAACGGAGCCGCTGGCATCGTGTTCCAAGAGACGTCGAATGGATTGAAGATCTGCAAGTAGAATGCGAAAGATAATTATATATTATGAATGTTAACTGTCGATTGTAGCATTTCATTTTAAATTGATATTCACGTTGAAAATCGTATTATTTCGGATAATTGCTTGAGAATCTTAATTATAAAGACAATGCTATGTCTTTTTAAACATTTGTTTAATTTCTAGCTACGTATCGTCCACAGCATTGAATTATCGTTAGTCTTGAACAATTTTAGTCTGATTGCTGCCACCATTCGTTACAGATACCACGGAGAATTCTTCGGTAATTGAATGTAGTTTTTTTTCTATTGGCTTGCACTTGTTTCTGCAACCGTTTGCATAAATATTTATTGTCAATTAAATCTCCTTTGCACCCCTTCAACTGTCAATGGTCGATGCGGGCGCGCAAGCCGAGAAAAAACTCGTCTCGATAACTTGCATTTATCGTTTTTATCGTGCTTGGCTCTTATTTAGCGCTGCACCTGTCGCATTCCGCTCCCTCCGCTCTCCTCCCGCACCAAACAATCACTTCTGTCAGTCGGAATCAGAGTTGCATGCGAGAACAACGATGACAATGTCGAGCCAATCAGCAGAATTCTCTCGACTTGCCATCGAATGCTGCGCCTTTGCTTTAATTGGTTTAATTTGTGCTGCTTGGTTTATTATTTCTATCAATACTTTGTCTTTCTGTGTCAATATTATGTTAAAATGTGCACCAATCGGCAGCACTTTTTACACACTTGTTGTTTTTGCTCACAAAGTTACGTGAAATAAACAAACAGACTAAATCGATGTACAGAAGCGAATATTTCTTGCCTTGTGGTGATTCGAAATGGCAGAATATGCAAATTGAATATGATAATCATCTCATATAGTGTTGTCGCTGTAGCTAGATACATAGATGGTGAAAAATATATGTAAGATATAAGACAGGTCGTAAACTTGCCAATAGAATGCATTTTAATATGTGCATATATGGAAGTAAATGAGAAGAATAATTTGTAAGTAGATGACAGATATAACTGCTGCACCTAAAACTAGTATGAATCGACTTGGAAGAAGGCAATTGGACAAATAAGAATGTGTTTTTTTAATTCGTTATAAAAGGGCTAAAATAACAGATCAGAATTCGAAAGCAAGTTCTATTGGAATTTGTTTTTTTTTATCAACATTTTTAAATTTTTTGGTACAAGGAGAAAACGGTTAAAGATTTAGATTTATTAATTACATAAAATTAGAAAATAAACTGGAAAGCTGATTTTTTAATGTGAATCTGATACTCAAATGTATAAATCATTGAAAAGGAATATATTGGGAGAAACTAAGTGCGAGATTTTTAATTGCCTCCATTAATTTGTATAAGGATGCAGTTATTTCAAACTTTAATTTTAAATATTTGTTGTTGCTCTTTTTGTTATTTAAATGAAAAGATGGTTTTAAGTGTGCCTGCTTTTTATACATTTTTTTATCATTAAACATACTTCCTTTCTAATGTAATTAGCAACAAAAACTTACCATTTCTATATCCACAGTGTACGTATTTTCGGAAATAATTATAATTGCATTAACAGCCCTGTCTTTTCGTTTCCTTACAGGTATAACAGGTGTTTTCAATGATAATTACTTCCACGTGAAGGCACATATTTATTTTTTTTATGTACTAGTATGTTTATTATTTTCATTAGCTTTTATGTTGTGCTTGTCTTCTTATTTCGCGGTTTCTTTAAGTGGCAATTTTACCCGACGAGTCAATAACTATACTATAAACGAGTAGTGATAAATGGAAATAGTAAGACCTTGGCTAATTCACAATATAAAAATGTGTACAAATGCTATAAAAAATGGTAAATACTGGTAATACATATACTCACAGCAGAAAAAAAGTATAAAAATAAATGTAACTTCTGAAGATCAATTTTCGAACTAGCCTAAAGGTATTAAGCAACTTCTTTCCTCCCGCCAACAACATCATATAATATATTACCAGCATAAAGTATAAAACGACTGATGTAAGCTCTGGCAGTTCCAACTAGTGGGTTTTATTATATATACCCTACAGGCGACTGCCAACTGCCGATGACAGGCAATCCCCCACCGGAACTATTCGTGTTGCACGAATGAGGGGTAAAAATGAATAAATGCCTCGTGTACATATTTGCATTTGCCAGACCAGTTGTCTGTGGCATCTGTTGCGCATGCGCAGAACAACAATTGGCGGTTGACATTTTACATAAAGGAGAAAAAAAAAACAACGTATTAAAATTGTTTCTGCAAATGTCAAAAGAAGCGCACTTGTTGTCTGCACAACAACTGTTCGCATTTTCTGAGTGTGGCAGACAAGGGCTAACAATTATAGAGTCTGCAAATGGCGTTGGAAATTTGCATATCAATGACGATCGAATGTAAAATTTAGACTGTGGTTAGCCTGTGTAGGCCATGCGAATGATGAGCAGCTGGAAAGGGGGACCCAAGGAATTCGTCGTGTGCATCGCCCACGCAGCTAACTAACAGCAAGACAAACAATTTCTCAACAAGGAAATAAAATTCTCATGCCTCTTGCCAAAAGTTCAAACAACGGGTTCAAAGTTTGAGAGTCACTGCGATAAGCAGTCGCTGTAAAACGCAACGTGGGCAAGTCGGGGCCGCCAGACTTTGCGTCGTTGCCGTTGGCGGCCCACGCGGCTGCAGAACTTTTGCAAAATAATGAAAAATGCAGTGTTTTTTGATTTGCAATAAATATATAAGTAAGTATAAAAAAAGCAAAAATTGTTGGCCTCTCTTTTCGAGTCTCTGTGTTTTTGGTCGTCAAGTGGGCATGAATGGAAACAGAAACGCAGACCGGGCCTCTGACTCTGCTTCTGCTTCTGCCTCTGCCTCTATCTGTGCTTGTGCCTGTGCCTGTGCCGTGCTTGTAATCCACTTTACGCCGGACGTTGTTCTTGTTGGCGTCGTCGACAAAGTCGTCGTTGAGGCCCACTCTCGAAAGAGCAGAAACAGGAATTGCCTGCCATTCGGTCTGGGGTATAATATAAGCGTAGGTATATGGGTAAAAAAAGGCGTAGGGAAGTCACAAAAGAACCATGTACTACGTTTTATGTCAGCTGGCAAAGTTGCTTGAACTACGCGTACAATATGTATACTTACTATATACTTATACTTATATACTATATAATACATATACTTACTATATAAGCTGCATCTACTATATAGAGGCATGTTTCATCTGCTCAAAGCTAGAGCCGTCGCCATAAAGTTTGGCTTATTTAAAAGATAAATAAAACTATTTAATGCAGACAGAGAGATCGACTTGTCTCCCTTAACGTACACCTCTTTTAACCGGACACCCCTCTTAGACGGACACTTTTTCAAGAACATTCGTTTGACTTGACCGAACTAAAGCTTCTCTTGGCTGGATCCAAACCTAACCTATTACAAAATAATTTCATATTTTTATACCCTGTACCCAAAGGATGAAATGGTTTTGTGCGAATGTATGTAACGGGCAGAAGGAGGCGTGGCAGACCCTACAAAGTATCTATCTTATTGATCAGGGTGACAAGCCGAGTCGATCTAGCCCTGTCTGTCTGTCTGTCCGTCCGTATGAACACCTGGATCTCAGAGACTATAAGAGATAGAGACACCAAATTTTGCACAAAGATGCCTTATGTGTGTACGCTGTGCAAGTTTGTTTTATTTTTTTTATTTTTTCCGTTTTTCAGTTTGTCCGTTCGTCCGTCTGTCTGTCTATATGATCGCAAGGATCTCAGAAAGTATAAGAGCTAGAATAACCAAACTTGGTATCCAGATTCTCCTAAGACAGAGAAAGAACGAGTTTGCGTTTTTTTTTTTCGCTGCATCGCCCACTCCTCAGCAATTCGTGTTTTTTTTCCATAACTCCCGTAATTTTTCGAATTTTGTACTCAGATTTGGCAAATACCTCCAGTTAGTGATTATGAGTCCGTATGGCAAGTTTCATGTATGTACACACGCATTGAATAATTTTTATTTAATTTAATTAATTATTTAATTTTTTTTTAATATTTTTTTTTTGTAATTTTATAGCGTTCTATCTTGTTTTAATTGTTATTTAATTATTTAAGTTATGCCCAGTTTTGCAAGATCAAAATAATAGTAGTTCTTGAACAAATACTTGTATTGCTAATTAAATAAAATGTGTTGTTATTCAGCTCCGGAATGCTTGTAAAAGGAAAATATTTGAATTTTATTAAAATTTGCACTAGTTGTGAACATGTTTTGTTTTTTTTTTCACCTTTGGCTACAAGGTATAAAAAGTACGATTTAGAAACAGTAACTAATGTTATTGAATGCATGTCTACTTGACTCAGTATCAGTACGAGGTTAAGGCTCTATCTTTTAAGAAGTCTCAAGTCTTCTTTCGGGTACAGGATGTAAAAATACGATTTAGATACAAACACATAATTTCACACATACGAGTACAACTTAAAAGCCATCATTACACTGTAATTATATGGCTAATGGAAAGCCTGTGTGGGTTTCCAACATCAAAAACACGCACCACGCACACTTCGTCTCCAGCTCCGTAGGCCCCGTTTTAACCCAGGTGGAACATGTGTGTACACAGATTGTGGATATACTTATCTATATAATTTCATGGATTTTAGCCATATTAATTGCGTGCGTGCGTGAAAAGAAGGGGCACGTGTGTGAGTGCAGCAGAGAGAAGTATTTTAATTTGCAATTCTATGCGTTTTTAAATTAAATTATGAGAAATTAACAAGCAGAGCTCGAGAGTCAATGCACTCGCTTAGATGGTTAGATGCCCAGATCGCCTCAATTGCGGCAACAATGCAAGCACAAATGGCATGCATTTAAATTGCAAAATTATGCAGCTACTGTAAACGGAGGCTACGCATGCGCGCCACAATTTTTGTTTCAATTCTGCTCCGTTGTTTTTGTATCTCTCCATTAGATTAATGCGAGTCGACTACGTCGCACTAAATTGATTTGAATTTTCCGCTGCGATTTTATTTTT